TTCATAATTTTAAAGGAACACTAGTCACTTTCTCACATAATGACATAATCTTTAGCCACAACATATAATGCTGTAAATTTTAAATTAATTTTGAGAGTGGCCTACATTTCTACTCACAAGCTATTAAGATGCAATGCAATTAAAAGATGAGTTTTATGTAAAAAAAAAAAAAGCATATCAGTCAACTTAAACGAACTCTTGTTCCCAATGATGACATATTATCCTCTAATTAAATCAGCTAAGATAACTCTGTTTGCAAGGATCACTCTAAAATTAATTCCCAAATCAAGAGTTTAACAAGTAGCACTCCTAATAGGCYGGATTTTAGATTGCTTTGATACCTGGAATTAATGTAATTCTTTTAGAAATCTAGTGACCTGCCAAATCATAGAAAAAAAGAAAAAGGAAAACATTTGAAGTTCAGCTAATTCATTTATAAATCACACTGTTCATCCAAAGGACTTTAAAGACATCAGCTAACTAAACAGAGGGCAAAGACCTCGGATTCTTTGAAGCAGGCAGATAAATGGAACTTAAATAATTTATCCCAAAGTAGGACATTTAATATGGCAATAAAAGAGGAATAGTTTTCCCATTTATGTTAATCTAGTATCTACATGCAAATAAAAAATGTGTTAATGGCAAATGTTTTAAATAAGTTGGTTTTCTGGGGGAGCAGAGGACAGGATGTGTTTCCAAAGAAAGGCAAGACCTATCTGACAAAGGTCAGGCATGTGTGATGTGTAGGGTGTGTGCATGTGTGTGTGTGTGTGTTTGTGTGTGTGTGTGTGTGTGTGTGTATGTATGTGTGTGTATCTTTGAAGCCAATAGAGGACTAAAAAAAAAAAAATGTTAGTACATCAGCAGAGAATAAAAGAATGTCTTTTTTTTCTTTTTTTTTTTTTTACTGTAGACCTTGAGATAAACAGCTGATAAACTGACAACAAAGAGATGTGAGAACAGTTTAATGCTATCTTAACATCTAGCTGCAACCCAACTCTCAAAATGCATGAGACTGAAAGCAGGGCAAAATAAATATTGAAAATAGAGATTATTATAATTTTTGTCTTAATCTGTAGAGATAAACTGCCCTCCTCTTCTTACCTCCATTGATAACTTCGTATCGTAAGTTTTGTTAGACTGATATTACAGTAGGTCCACAACAAACCAACACATGCACTTTAGTTTCTATGTTTTACATAGCCATATCAATACAATAAAATGATTAGGATAAAATAAATAAATAAAGGTATTGTGTCTACATAAATATTTTTTTAAAAAATGATTAGGAAAATGCACAAATATATTTTAGTGGTGGGGATGTGGCCAATTCTYGAGAACAATTTCAAAGTGACTCTGAGATATTATAGATATTACAAGGATGCATAGGGTGATTAATAAAGGAAGCTATATATGTATGAGGTGGAGTCAGAATACATTCTTAATGYATTTATTCAACAAATGCTAGAAGCTTAATACTGTAAGGCTCTGGGCCATGCTAGGTCTCTAGRCTCTGGCACCAACCTGCCTCAGCTTTCCGTCTAGCCTGGTCATCCTTGTCAAGTTAATTAGTTAAGTCTTTTCTGCTCCATGTTTTCATCCATAAAATAGGGCTCATGTTAGCATATACTAAATCATTAGAAATATTCATTAAGGTAATGCTTTTAAGGTGATGCCTACACAAAGGTGATGGGCACAGTTTCTCAATGAGAGATTTAAATGAAGCTACATGCCATGGAAACATGATCACATAAGTCACATATCATACAGAGTATGATAACTGAGGACCCCAACAAACTTGGGGATTAAGACAGTGGCAGAGTAAAACAACAGGCTCTGCTGTCAGTTGTGGAGTTCCTTGAGTAGTTTAGAGCCACCATGATGAGTTGGACTGGAAAATGGGATAACACAGGATTACTTGATGCTTGAGGAAAGACTGTAATCTGTCATGCTGAGGATCTACTGCTCACTATCCTCCCAGCAGCTAGGACATGCAAAATAAATGAGCATTAAACACCATGAAGGCTTTTGGCTAGATGTGTGAAAATACTTCTACACCACAAGAATTCTTTAGTTATGAGAATGGAGAGCTGAGAGGGCTCAGGAGTCCACTCTTCTTTGGAGGTCTTCAAACAAGGATGGATAAAGTCGATCTGATCTGCCTGTGACAGTTTAAAATCAGGGCTGAGTGAAGATTGATGATGTAAACTGCCCCTTCCCAAGCACTCTTGGAGAGGAGAACTTCATATAGTATCTATCACAGTCCCTCATCTGATGGTCTGAAGAATTCTTCTCTATCCTAGAATAGAAAGCAATATTATTTACAACAGCAAGTTCTAAGTAAAACCTTAAGGTTATCGATAATGCCCTCATTATAGATCAGATATTTCCCTAAGCAAGCTACCTGCAAACATCTTCAGCCAGAAACAGTTCTTCTCATGAATGGGAAGTCTAAAGAGTTTGTTTTTAAATGCAGATTTCCTGGGGTACCACCAATTGGTACATGCCAATTCTCAAGCAAACCACTGGATGTCTAAACAAGGCAAAGGATGAAAAGGAGTTTAAAGAAAGGATAACCATCATAGAAACTCTCACCAATTCTAGATAATCAAGTGTAAATAGTATCAAGAACTAGAGCAGAGTGAAATTATTATTATTCATTTAACAACTGATCATATTTCCTTGCTGGTTATTCCAAAAGCAATAGCAAACCTAATTTGCTTTAGCATTAAGTTTACTTTGAAAAAAAAAAAAAAGACAAAAAACACAATTATCTTTCAATTAATTATTTTCCTATCAGATGTGCCTCTTACACCCTGGTGGTAATCAGGACCTTGATTATGTTCATCAGCATCAGTGTGCCCTTTGTCCTGGAAAGTGAGTCTAAGAGCGAACACATTTTAGGAATCCATAGCTGATAGGCAGAACTTAATTGTAAAGAAGCAGGGAGGAGAAAAAAATAAACAACAAAAGCCCTCTGCTGTTARAATACTACTAAAAGATTTATATAAACCACTGGGAATGCTCTCCAAAAAAGTAAATGTTGCCTACAGAAATCATTTATACTGAAAGTCTTCACTTTGCTCTTAAGGAGATTTTCTGTAGTGCTGAGGATGAACTATGGTCTCCYGAGAGTCTCATATCCACCAACGAATACCGAAGCAATTTTAAAATACTTAACTATTTTCTTCTTTGAGATATCTAAAATCGTGTTGGGAAATATCTGTGTTTGAAAGATACAATTTGAAAAAAAAAAAAAAAAAGAATAAGAGGAGAAAAAGTTTCTAAAGCGTCCATATTAGAAACCTTTTAAAAGTTGAATTCCCTGAGATTAGGTAAGGGGGGTAAAAGCAAAGCTGATTCTTATCAATTAATTAAAAAGAATGAAATAATAGACAAAGAGGAAGGAGAGTTAAGAAACTTAAGGAGTTGTAAGGGCAGTTGCTCTCTATTCATTGATCAACAAATTAAGGAGTTCTGGAAAAGGGAGACACGAAGTGACAGGGATGGAAAAGTAGTCYTATAATTCACCCCAGGTTCCGCCTGGAGAGGGAATGTCTGGCTGAGAAGTGGAAAAGGCTCCCTCTATACAAGGCGCCACGCTATATGATATATGCGGTTTTTTTTTTTTTTTTGGTAATGCCCAAATTTATGTAAATGTGTTAATTTCAGTGTGAGTAAAGCCCTTCCTTCACTCCTAGAGTTTGGAGAACGCTCACAATAAAACAGCAATTCCACAACGTAATGAAACTGTGCTGTTTGTAAGAGAACTGCAACACGCTTTTCATCCATCCACCAGTTCTTGGGCAAAATGCAGAGAGCAGCTGCAGGAAATCCAGCGTTTTGCTGGGCGATCTGAGGTCATTAAGGACTTCATCTACCCGGTTTGAGCAGCCCGCGCCCTCACAGCATCTCCAGGTTTCCTTTAGCCTCTCTCAGTTCGCTTCTCTCGCAGCCAAAGGATTATCTCTCGCCGACACGTTTCATTCACAGAGCCCCAGAAAGGCTGGGATTCGGTTGGAGCTAAGAGCTGGAAAACAGGCACCCAGCCTGCTGCGCAAGTTGTTGGAGACCAAGTGCTACACACTCAGGCKCCCAGAAAGAGGGTGGGGGCTCTTGAGCTCTCGACCCAGGAATGCTAGTGGGGGAGCCTGCGGGGGACGCGGGGTCCGCAGACCCAGAGCCCAGTCCCCAGCTGAGRCACCCGCGCAAGTTGGCTAAGCTTCCGAGAGCCGGCAGGCTGGCGAGGCCGTGCTCAGGACCCGGCGCCGCGCAGGGTGGCTAGGGTGTCTACCCAACACGAGTGACCAACCGCAATCGGGGAAGCACGGAGGAACCGTAACGGGAAAGCCCGCCCCAAATCTGAAATAGGCAGTCCACGAAGTCCCCCAACCAGCCCTGAAACGCCGCCGTCCGGAGGCCTGGGCTCCGGCGGGTGTCCCCTAAGTTTAGCCCGCCCCCAGCAYGAGCAACGAGCGCTCGCTCAGCTCCCTGAACCACCCTGAGAGTAGAGAGAGGGGCTAGGGAGCCCTCCGCGTCTCCCCGCCGCCCCCGCCGGCGCGAAGGCGGGAGTGGAGAAGGCGCCACTCAGACTGTGGCGCTGGGCAAACTGCGGTCGCAGTTCTTCCAAGTTTGCCCAAGCGAAAGGCGCAGGGTGGGTGCCCCGCTCGGCGATCTGCTCTTGGCCCGTGGTCGTCCCCGAGTGTCCCCGGTTCCTCGGCCCGCCTGGCCCGCTCTAACAACGGAGGTGGCCGGGCGCGAGAGCAGAGGGAGGGCGGGAGGGAAAGAGGGTGCTCCCGCGTGTGCACACAATGAGGCGGCGGAGACGCACACCTTCCCCCGCGAGAGAAGCCGCGGGAGCATCCGCCGCCCGGCGGGGAGACGCAGTGCCCCGARGATTCCTGACAGAAAGTGAACACACCAACTCAGCAACAGGGGAAAGGAAGAGGGCGTGCAGCCGCCCAGGCTGCAGCCTGCCCCGGCCGCGCGCCCGCGCTTACCTGCGATCTCCTGGTAAGGGATGTCCGCCAGGCTGAATCCCTTGGCACCGTACGCCTGCCGGACCTCGCCGCAGCTCCGAGCTTTCACATCCGCCCTGGCCGGGAGGGACAGCAACAGCCCCGAAAGGGGAAGAATCACAGCCCCGATCCAAGAAGGCATGGTGCAACATGCAAATCCAGCTCGGTAAACCCCAGGGCCCGTGCGCTCTTCACCTTGCCCCTCAAGCCGAAAGCCCGCCAGAGCCAGCGGCGCGCTCCTTGCCGCTGCCCAGAGTCACCCCCTTCCGCCAGCCGAGGGGACCAGCAGCGCAGCCCTCTGGACTGCACTCAGCAAACTTTTATAAGCCAGATGGAGGATGGAAAGCCAACCAGGGCTGGCTGGGGAAGCAGCCGCCTTGCTTCGCTATCCCCTCAAATCGAAAACGGTGCAATAAAAAATGAAGAAGAGGGGAAGGAAAAAATGTTTAAAAAATGACCATGGGGGTTCAGAGCTGCGATCCGAGTCCCGAGCCGCAGAATCCCAGAGCGCTGCGAGCTCTGCTGGCTAGAGTGCGCCGCGAAGGTGGGAACGCGCGCCGGCTCTCCCGGGAGGGAGGTGGACAGGCGAGCGCGAGTGTGTGCGCGCGTGTATATGTTGGTGTGAGCGCGGGGTTCTTGGGGCTGTGTGTGCGTGGAGGTTTGTGTTGGGGATATACGGGATCCGGAGGAAACCTCAGCTTCACACAGACTGAGGGAGCCTGTGAGAGTCCTTCTGAAATAGGAAGAGAGAAATCCTGGAGGCAGACACGAGAGGCAAGAGGGAAGGAGAATGGAGGGGAGAGAGAGAGAGAAACGTGCTACACATTGCACAGCCGAAATTCAGAGGCAGTGTCGACAGCAAAACCTGGAGTGGATCGTTTTCTACTCGGTAGGAGGGGAAAAAAATTAAAAAAGGAAACGTCCCTATTTTCTTATTTATTTCACATCCTTCATAACGATCCGACATGCTGCCTTCAATGGCATAAATAAGAAATCCAGAAGGACAAAGTTTTTTTTAAGTCTTTAACTTATGCTATTAAACTGCATTTTTGTGGAAATAAAGGACATTGGAATTCCAATTGTTGCTCTTGTCCTAGTGAAACACAAAGCCAGGGCAGAAATGCAGAAATATATAAAGGAGTCCCTGAGTAGCAGARCACAACCGCCCCTTGATTTAGATGTATAATTTCTGTTTGGTTTTATTGTGTTTTGAGAGACCAGTTTTTTTTTTWAATTTTTGGTTCTGAATTCAACAAATTACTTTTTCATTTCAAATATTAAATACTGTTGGATCAAAAATACTACCGGTGTGTGGAAGAACTAGGCAGCAAAGAGGAACAGAGTACAGAAGCAAAGAAAAAGGAGAGAACAAGGGTCAGGTACAGAAGGATACTGAAAGGGGGCCATGTCTTCCCTCTCATCAGATACCATCACATCCCAGACTCAGCTCATTTTCTTCCAAGTTAACAGTATTCTCAAGTGGAAAATCAATACACTTTCCCTTTTACACGAAGTTCTGTGAAATGGGATAAAAGTGAAGATTCTGGTTTGCTTAATTTCCATTGACTTTCTCATGCTAATGAGCACATTGAAGTCTAGAGGTGTTGAAATCTGGAGCACCAGTCTCTACAGAGTGGTGTAATTAAACCCAAGCCAAAGGTGGGGGTTGGGGGGGGGCGGTGAAAATACTTGTTCACTGTGAGGCCATGGGTATATTAGGTCAGCACTCTGCAGAAGTTACTAATTTGTGAAGCAAAATACCTAATTTGTGAAGTTCACTTACAAAGCTAAACAAAGATATCTTTCTGGTGATGCTGTTAATGACCAGAATTACCCACGAAATTTATTTTGTCCTCCTCATCACCAGCATCTTCATCTTCATTCCAACACATTAGGTACTTCTTTTTCCTCTCTTTACTAATAAACTGCTTCTCTCTTAACCCACTGGAAAGATTCAAGTTTATGATCAAGGATCATTGAAACTGGGAATGCATTAAAAACAAGCTTGTTATTTRCAGGAGGACTTTATCTTCTTCAAACTCCATAGCTAAAAACAAAACAAAACTCCTCAGCAGATGATTTCTTTCTGAAAACAATTTTTATTTTTTCTCTTTAAGTTTTAGCACAATTTTTGTCTTCATATTTGTGCTAACTGGCAGATCTTAAAATTATAACCTGTTTCCCTCCAAGTCTGAAATTAAAATAATAAAATATACTCTAGAATCTTTGTTAGCAAGGAATGAAGGTTGRCAGGAGCAGAAAATGAAGTCATTACTTCTGTGATATCTGATAACATGATCTCCTTTGCACTTTTGTTTCTATTACAGGTGATAGTCATTGTGAACTCTAGAGGAAGAGCATGAATGCACACATACCTTACCMTATTAGCTCACACTGGGATTMATTGTAAATTACTGTGAATTAACATTGRATAGCAGGTAGTCTCATATAAAGGATATTTGAGGGGCTGGGGTTGTAGCTCAGTGGTAGAGCAATTGCCTTGAATGTGAGGCACTGGGTTCAATCCTCAGCATCACGTAAAAAATAAGTAAATAAAATAAAAATATTGTGTCCGTCTACAATTAAAAATATATTTTTAAAATATATTCGAGGTGGAGGGAAATGTGTAAAAACAGTATGTGTGGCTTTAAACTATTTGAAGATCAACTTAATTCTTACGTTTGATGAACTTAAAAGTATTTGATGCCACTAAACAGCACTAGCCTCTTGTACAGTCACTCTTAAAATGGCCCTAGGCTCTACAGCAAGGCTAGTACATGGAAAGAGTTACTAGCTTAATCAAGCATAAATAGATTAGCTTAATCCCCAAGCGAAGTTCAAACAGTTTCGAGTAGGTTTGTGACCTTTAGTCAAACCAAAGAATTCAGCAACTTGCTTGGTACAGTTATAAATTAATGTAGCACTGTTTGAAGTGGTGTAAAAGAGAAAATAAATAGAAGCAAGAGAAAGGTAAGTTGAGGAGACACCCAGAACTCTGCTACCATGGTAAAGGTTTTTGGTGATGGAGACTTAAAAGAGGATGGAAAATGGAAATGAAGTTAAATTTTGAGCAAAGGATCAGTATGATACGGTGTTTGGTTCATTACACAAGAAAACTCACTAAAAATGTATTTTAAGATTTTGTTTCTTTGGGGAAATGTGGCATATTTTATAAGTAAGACTTCTGTTTATGCAGCACTTTCACATCCCAACTGGTTTTCCTAACAACCTTTCTTGGGCACAAGATAAATGTAACCTTAAAGATTTGAGTTGTAGAGAGGAAAAGACTTAGTCTTGAGCAACTATAATTGACATTAGAGCAAACCCTGTCAATCATCTACTCCACAGCCATTGTGCCTTCTTCTTACTGCCCTAAGACAGATTGTGTTTGTGGGGCATTGTGCCCACCACCAAGCGATAAGTCACAATTGGTTTAAGTCAATGTTGGTAATCCCTTTCTTTTTCTATTAGATAGTATAGGGGTAGAATAAGAACCATTTCTCATTAATGTGATTTAAGGAAAAGATTGAAAAAGCAGAAGGGTCTTTTGCCTCAACCCCCTGCCTCCTTAGGGCTGGGTGGCCATATTGTGAACAAGAAACAAAACTTTGCCAACAGAGAGTCAATGGCAGAACTGGAGGCTAAAAAGAACTAGATCCTTCAGTTCCTATTTCAGTCACCAACCAGTCCTGGACTTCTTACTAAATAATCAATAAATATCCTGTAAGTTCATGCCACTATCATTTGGCTATCCTACTGTTTTCAAGTGAAAGCAATACAAGCATATASCCCAGACTAAAGGAAGAAAAGGAGAAATTGCAGGTAGGTGACAGGGATTGATTGCAAATGTAAGAAGAGGACAAAAACTAGGTAGCATTAGAGAATCCCAGTTAGGAGATTTTCGAACATGAAGCAAATTGCAGTGATCGTCACAGACAAAATGATGGAGAAAATGGTACTTGGGTGATGATAATGAGCCTTACTGGAAATTTTGGGGGAAACAGTTTAGTGGAGTAATTGGGTAGGTGCCAGACCACATGGAATATTATGTGAAATGAGTAGAAAGACTGTGGAAATGTTGGGTACAATTGTTGGCAGTGTGGTAACTTGCAGGAGGGATAAGCTTGGGCATCAGGCATGTCTTCTGCAAGAACCTTCCAAGATTTCAGGGAAGACAGACAAGATATCAAAAAGAGGTCAAGCTGGCATAGAGATGCATGCCCGTAATCCCACAGCTCCAGAGGCTGAGGCAGGAGGATCCCAAATTCAAAGCCAGCCTCAGAAACTTAGTGAGGACTTAAGCAAATTAGTGAGACCCTGTCTCAAAAAAGGGTTGGGAATGTGTCTCAGAGGTTAACCACCCTGGGTTCAATCCCTGGTATCCCAGGACCACCCCCCCAAAACAAACAAAAAAACAAACAAACAAAAACAATAATAATGATAAAAAAGTAAAAATCCAATACGAGCTCACTTAGGTTAATTTTTTGTATTTTTCTCTTTCTTGTCTGCATTTTCCATGTTTTCTACAGGAAATGTAAGTTTTTCTATGATGARAAAAACTATTGTTTTGAAATGAATGTCACAGTTTTAACAAAAGTATAAATATAGCATTTATGTCATATTTTCCAATGCAAAAAGTTCTTGTCATCATCTTATACATGATAGCTCTTAATATTTTTCTGAATAAAATAACAACTTTGGGGTATGAAATGGTTTTTTACTAATTTTTTTAAAAGCCACGAGTTTAGAAAAAATGGAAATAAGACACAATAGCAGAATACTTTTGCCTTGTCATACTAACTCGTGAATGAGAAAACTGGGTGAATTTTAGTTTTTTCTTTGTGTTTTTAGATGAAAGTAGAACAAATRAGTACAAATAGAATCTTATGAAAACAAGAGAATGGACTTCAAGTGTCTATTCCACATCTCAGCTTGGCACAAATCAAAATTGCTTAGTTAACCTGCCTCTTGAAAAACAGAGCYTGTAATGAAAAAGCTGTCAGAAATCTAACAACAGTAGCTCTGCCAGGTGCCTGGATAATGGGAAGGTTGCTGAGTTACAGAGAAAGAAAAGGTAAACTTGGGTGAATAATGACCAGAAATGGTAAAAACAATATTTCATTTTCTTTTTATGGATTATGCCCAACCAAGTCCTAATAGCTCATTCAACACTTGTTTGAGTCTTTAGAGTATAGCTGATATAAAACAATAAAAATTATATCTTTAGRGCAGTTGAGAACCAATGGTACTGCTTGGGGGAAAGCCAATCAAGGAGGGACAACTGATTTCTTCTTGTCTTACAGTATTCCTTTAAGACTGTGAGCACGGAACTGTTCAGCTGCAAAGAAGGGAATCCTCTGATCTGCCTAATCTGATTTTTGCTTAATAGTTGTGATAGGGTTTAGCCAAGAGAACTGAAAGAAAGTATATCATGTATTCATAAGCATTACTCATATTTACTTGAAATACTACCACCAGTCATCAAGAAGGTATAAACAGAAAATATGTTAAAGCATTACAATGATTTAAAATGGTATTTTCAATTTTTCATATTTATTAACGATCCATTGATTCTAAGTGATTTCCATGCCTAGAAATGCATCTTAGGTTATAAAATACATTTAAATATTAAGTAACAAAATATTTACTTTCAAAAGCTGGTGTTAAGTGTACGCATTGGAACAATCTTGCAAATGTAATACTTGCTAAGCATTACTTTGTACCATCATTATTAGAAAAGCTTATTGTATAGCAGGAAG